TCAGGGAGGATGTAGGGATGGTGAAGAAAGCGCAGAACTGGGGCTTAAGGGTAAGTGTGATGCAGGTGGAGGTAGATGATATTGCTTTTTATCTTTTATTACTACCATTGTTATTTTGTAGCGCATAGGAAGAAAATTAATAATTCTGCAAACAGGTTAGGGCTGCAAAGACCCCCACATCGTAAGAAATATTACTCTTTTTGACATTTGTGACAACCTGTTGAATGGTTTGAAGCTTTGCTGAAAAGAATTTAGTTTTTTTGTTACTGTTTTCTTATGGCGCATTTCTTTATTTTCGCTCCTTTTTTCTGAAGAGTTGTGTTGAATTTTTAGATTTTTTTCAGGATTTTTTTTTTTTTATACTAGTAATTTTCTGAAGGAATGTGGGTTTAGTTTAAAAGCATATGTAATGTTTGTTTTGTTTTCCCTTCACTTTATTATTTTGGCAAAAAGAAAAAAGTGAAAATGATTTCTAAATTACTGATTTTTATATTATTTAGATATTTTTATATTGAAATTATATGAGCATCTATGTTTATTTCTTTGCTTATGAAATCATGAAATTTGATGCTTGATAATCCATTCTACTAAATTTCCATTAAGGAATTTAGAAATGGTTCTGTGAACTGTATTCAATTCAGGATCTTAATGTATAATGTACATTTCTAAATAAAATTTTCTTTTATGGTAAGCATGCTATCAATTTTTGTTTCGTAAAGGTACAAAGTAAGCTTATTAAACTTAGAATCCAATAACTAGTGTTAGAATATGGTAAAAAAAAAAAGGGGAAATAAATTGTACAAGAAAAAATCAAGATTTAGAAATTCATATATTTTAAATTATGAAAGCAAACACTTTGCCTCTAACTTCTGATTTCTTCTCTTTATTTCTGTAGCTTTCAATAAACGTGTGTTATGCTTGAGTTTAAGAAAACGATGTTTGCATTTACTGCTTCAAAGACTGAATTTTTTTTCTGGAATGCCAATGTGTTTTGATGTTATTGTTAGCCTGTGAGAATTATTTGATCTTTTTTCTTCGTCTTTTTCTCTTTTTTTCTAGTCGTCCAGAGAAATGCTCTTGCTCAAACATTATCATTGACTCATCAGCATTTTTATGTAAAGTCATAGGAGGCTGATAGTAGATACAGAATATTGATATGGTTGTAATTATTCCTTTATTCTAATTGTTTTCAGTGGGCAGATGTGTGAAAATTGCCATTCTGATTCAGACATTGATAACTACAGTTTTTTGGAACTTCAGTTTAAAAGAAATTGAATATCAAAATGTGCATTTCCTTTGGAAAAAATTAAGTTTAAAGATCTTTAATTTTATCCCCCAGAATTTAAAGTTAAAATTTTGTTTTTCTTTTGGATTATGATGTGAGTGTGACAGGTCAGTCTAGATTTTGTACTTATATCCAGAGATTCCAGATGATAATATTAAGATATATATGTCACTGAATATTTTGTTGGTATCTTTCATCATCAATATTTTCGACAGCAAAACTTAAATCCATAGCAAGTCTAACTTCTGTAGGATAAACATGAGTTTATTACAGCTTGCCCAAGCCTGTGTATTTGGGACTAACCCAAGTTTTGCAAGGCAGTATGAGCAAGCCTTCACTAATGTTGGTTCAGTTTGACTTGCTCTTTATTCAGAGATTTCTCTCTGCTGAGATCCATGAGCAGAAGCCACTGCTCTGGAATGAAATGAAAATTCAGATAGTGTCTTCCAATGCAGATGATCTGACAATGAGTTTGTGCTGAGCATTTCTCTGGTGGTTGGCTGTGGCTAAGATAAGAAGGGCAAAATATCTTCTGTTTATAACTGTGTCTGCTCTCTGAGGCTGCTGCTTTTCCCATCTCCCTCGTTGCTACAGATCTGAAAACTCCTCGTTGGCATTTGTTATTGTTGGTAAGTAGTTGTTCCATACTTGCCAGACCTTTGATGAGTAATTCTTGAATTGACACTGTAGTTAACAAGGGGTTGTGGAAATGAGTAGACTCAGACTTTGCAAGATTTTTTTGTTTTATTGTTTATTTACCTTGATAGGAATAATAATCAGCCATAAAGTTGGATAAATAAGATTTATTAGAAGAAGTTTTTAAAAGACTAGTGGATTTTCTGAATGCTCCTAATTAGATGACGAGGCAATTGGCTACCTTAATACTCTATATAGATACTGTACTGCATGCTCTCTTTTTTCTAATGAGGGTAGACTTAATCAAGATGTTGCCCATGATTTAATGGTAATTCTAGAGCATTTAACTAGTGAATTTAGACAGAGAGAGAGAGTTGGAAAAAACATAGATCTTGCAAAGTCTTTATGAGCAATAGTTATAGCCTCTGTCCCTGGCCCGGCCATTTTCCAGCAACTATACCACTAGCTGCCGCAGCCCTCCAAATGGCTCGTATCCCTGCCGTGTACATCACTGATTATGACCAAGATCCCCTTCAGGTGGAGCCTTATTGGGAACCCTATTATGCGCTGACGGTATGA